TCGAATCCAACGCGTGGCAATATAGCGCGTAACTATTCTAACCGTATCGAATTCAACGCGTGGCGATATAACGCGAGAGGAATTTAATACGCGTTGAATCCAATGCGTGGTAATATAACGCATGGCGATATAACGCGAGACAATATAGCGCGTAACTATTCTAACCGTATCGAATTCAACGCGTGGCGATATAACGCGAGAGGAATTTAATACGTGTTGTATCCAATGCGTGATAATATAACGCGTGGCGATATAGCGCGAGACAAATTTAATACGTGTCGAATCCAACGCGTGGCAATATAACGCGTGGCGATATAACACGTGGCAATATACCGCGTAATAAAGCTAACACGTATCGAATTTAATGCGTGGCGATATAACGCGAGACAAATTTAATATGCGTAGAATCCAGCGCGTGGCAATATAACGCGTGGCGATATAACCCGTGGCAATATAGCGCGTAATAAACCTAACACGTATCGAATTCAACGCGTGGCGATATAACGCGAGACAAATTTAATACGTGTAGAATTCAACACATGGCAATATAACGCGTAGTAAATCTAACACGAGTCGAATTTAATATCCGGCAATATAACGAGTGACTACCACGTACTAACTCGTGAAGATCCAACGCGTGAAAGTTGCTTAAGAAGAATTGCAACAACCATGCAATACAAATAGAGTTTATTGTATTATCATAGAATGCGTAGAATAATAAAACGTGAAAATCCAAGTAGAATAGGTCGCCCATTCTGGAATAATCGCATCGAGTTATCGTATCTAAACGTCCGGTGGACCTTTCTTTTTCTCCCACTGTATTTACGTTCAATTTCACCGTGAGTCTAATGTAACGAGAGCTCGTTGGCTCGAAGTGAGACGAATTCGATTGCTCGGTTCGTGGCTGGAAAGAGGGAGGCGATCGAACGACCTGCACGTACGTGAATGTCGTACAGAGAGAAAAGCATAAAAATGAACCTAACCGCCTTCCCGAGATTTATTTATCGGCGAGACTTACGGATTTTATTCAATACCGTACTCGTCCTGCCTTTGAATTTTATCATTGTCGGATAAGCCTTGATCGAATATTTTATCGGGAGTTTCTGATACTTCACTAAAATTTACTCTGTTTTAAAAGAGCAACGATGGTTCGATTGATAACCAAATGATAAGAACGGTAAAACGCGAAGGTCTCAGCTCCGAGATTCGCATCGTTTTTCTCGCACGAGAAAATTTCAAGCACGTATCAGAGGCTCGCGCACAGAAATGTCACGAAGACACGCTCGACCCAACTGTGGGAGAGAGACCTGGTGCAGTTACGGTGCATCCTGCATAAAGCCGATCAAGTATGCCGAGTGTGAAGGAGGGCCGCGAGTGCACCGGCCACGTATATCGTGACATGCGTATGTACATCTAGGCGCGGCAGTTTACCTCGTTCACGCCAGCGATTTCTCGAGCGCGATGCTATTCGCGCTATCCGCGAGCGATACGTGATGTGCTCGTCTAGATTCGACTCCATCGGACACGATCTGACTACGATCCAATATAAATCGACTTGATCCGATTCGATTTGGCTCGACACATTTGACCTGATTCAATTTCATTCCATTTGAATCGACTGCTGAATTTACACGACTTCGCTCAAGTTTGCTTGTCCGAGCACGATAATACTCGAATTTATACGATTTGACTCGAGTTCGCTTGACCAGGTCCGACTGTAGCCGAATTTACACGATTTGACTCGATCAAGTTTGACCGAGTGCGGCAGCAGTCGAATTTACACGACTTGACTCGATTAAACTTGACTGAATCCGACTGTAGCCGAATTTACACGATTTGACACGAGTTTGCTTGACGAGGTACGACAGCAGCCGAATTTACACGACTTGACTCGACTAAACTTGATCGGCTACGACAATAGCCGAATTTACACGACTTGACTCGATTAAACTTGACTAAATCCGACAGCAGCCGAATTTACACGACTTGACTCGATTAAACTTGACTAAATCCGACAGCAGCCGAATTTACACGACTTGACTCGATTAAACTTGACTAAATCCGACAATAGCCGAATTTACACGACTTGACTCGATTAAACTTGACTGAATCCGACAGTAGTCGAACTTACACGACTTGACTCGATTAAACTTGACTGAATCCGACTGTAGCCGAATTTACACGACTTGACTCGAGTTTGCTTGACCAGTTACGAGTGCAGTCGAATTTACACGACTTGACTCGACTAAACTTGACCGGCTACGACAATAGCCGAATTTACACGACTTGACTCGATTAAACTTGACTAAATCCGACAGCAGCCGAATTTACACGACTTGACTCGAGTTTACTTAACCAGTTACGAGTGCAGTCGAATTTACACGACTCGACTCGATTAAACTTGACTGAATCCGACAGTAGCCGAACTTACACGACTTGACTCGACTAAACCTGACCGGTTCCGACAATAACCGAATTCGCACGATTCAATGCTTCGCCCGACCCAACAGCAACCGAATTCACTTTGACCCGATTCAATTTCACTCGACCCGATTTTCCCGCCCCGATTTGCCCGACAATCTCCGACTTGACCCGACAATAACCGACTAGATTTAACTCCGCGAAGTTTGGCAGGTTGTGCGTGGAAAGTACTAGGCGGGATAGATCGCGTCGCGGTGGCGATGCATTCCGCGCGCTTTCGATGCATTTCTCAGGGACCTTATGCACCGGTGCATTTGCTATTCCACGGGTGACGAGGGCCGCCGTCGAGCGTGCGCCGCATAAACGGCCGTGTGAAGCAGACTCGGGTCGACGAGCGCGGTCGTCTTCGTGCTCGTTCACCTATCTGGCGCGATGCTCGACTTTGCGAGATTTTCGTGCTGACTATAACAAGTGCTTTTACTTCTTTAAAATTAACGCGAACTTTCTTCTATAGTTACTATCATATTTTAAAACATAACTTGCAGAGATGTTGGAGTCTGAGGATGCATAGGGTGTTTAGGGTGCTTAGGGACATAAGGAACATGTGGAGTATAGGAATATAGAGATATAGACACGTGGACATAGCATAGGATCTTTCTTCGATAGTGTCGCAATTTTAAAACGTAGCTTGCAGAGGTATTGGAATCTGAGGATACACAGGGTGCTTAGGATGCATAGGGACATAAGGAACATGTGGACATAGCATAGGAGCTTTCTTCAATAGTTTCGCAATTTTAAAACGTATCTTGCAGAGGTATTGGAGTCTGAGGCATAGGGTGCTTAGTATGTATAGGGACATAAGGAACACGTGGAGCATAGGAATATAGAGATATCAATAGATGTAGAGATGTAGATCAACAGAGGTATACATCCACTGCAGGTGTAGAGATTTGGAGATGTGGGAATCTGGAGATGTGGGAACCTGAAGATATAGAAATCTGGGGATAAGTCTCTGGTGTTATAGAAATCTGAGGTGTAGGAATCTGGAGATGTGGGGACCTGAAGATATAGAAAACTGGATTACTGGGATAAGTCTCTGGTGTTATAGAAATCTGAAGTGTAGATCTTCAGGGTTGCAGAAACCTGAGCATATAGAAATCTGGAGTTATAGAAATCTAGGATGTGATTCAAGAATGTAGGATCTGGAGAATCCCAATAATAGTGATCTCTGTATAATTTAATTTCCTTATATACCCAATTCCCATACCCCATCTGTGTATACCTAATTCCACCATCAACACCACTGAACCCTAATTCAACTCAGTCCACTTCAAACCCTATTCTCCTCTCACTCGATTTATCCACCTAGTAATTCGACCTCGAAAATTTGAATTCGAAAACTAAAATCCATTTTCCCAAATTAGCATCCGAAAGCAAAATCACCGCTAATACCCTAAATCACAGAACGTCCCAACTCCAAATTCAAAGTCCCACATCTCCTCCTCAACGAGGACCATTATTTTTAACGATAAGAATTAAACGAGACCTCAAATTCAGCGCGATATCTTCTCAAGTATTAAACTAGTATAAAACTCAGGGAGAAGGTCAAGATATCGAAGCGAAGAAGAAGACACGTGGGGACGTGATCTCGCATATCGTTTACGGGAACGGTTTGAGGTCAGCGTTGCTTTGGTACCGAGCCATTGGCAGAAGTTTGTAAACTCGTGAAACTTTTCAGATCAACAGCTGCTTGTTTTCGGTACATCGAATAGGGGAGGAAACTTCTTCGGAATATGTTCTATGCAACGTTTATGATGCATTCGTGTTTGTTGGTCGACTTTCGGCATTCCTTTTTCTTTCGACAATTTACTTTGTCATTTCTTTTTCTTTCAATTGACTTCGTCATTCCTTTTTCTTTCAATTGACTTCATCATTCTTTTTCCTTTCAATTGACTTCATCATTCCTTTTTCTTTTGACAATTGACTTCATCATTCCTTTTTCTTTCGACATTTGACTTTGCTATTTTTTAAACTTTCTGATTATTCTCTTTGCTTGATGAATTATTCTTTGGATCATAACTGAAGGTTTCATTAAAGACACTTATTGTTTGATGTTCAGTTTGAAAGCAACGCAGCAAGCAAAGCAGTTTGAAGTTTGAAGAAACTGTAGACACATAGAAATGTATAATTTTGTGACACAGCATAGCAGTTGTGACTTAACCTCTTCCCGTATCATTTATTTAACAGATACCTCTTCCCGTATCATTTATTTCCTATCTGTTCAGAACCATAACATCAAAACGAACAAAGAAAATTAAAATGTAACTATTTTATATTCAGAGATCCTTGATAGTGTAACTTATAGGTGGACCTAAATTTCAAGTAGAAGAGTATTCAAAATTTTAATAAGGTTTGTCACGTTTGAGCTGTAAGTGCGTCACGAGTGACTCGTCAAAGTACAGGAAGTGTTTAATACAGCAATTGTTGTGACTGATAGCAGTTGACGTGCAATATAGTTCAAAGAAAATTTAAACATTTTCAAAATGAAAGAGGGAGTTGAACCGTGTGTTTTGTTGCAGAACGAGAAGCTGGAGGTGAAACAGAAATGGGCCTCGCGGCTTTTAGGCAAATTACGAAAAGATATCACGCAAGAGTACCGAGAGGACTTCGTGCTAAGTATCACGGGGAAGAGGCCAGCCATGTGTGTCCTAAGTAATCCTGATCAGAAGGGTAAAATGCGTCGCATCGATTGCCTGCGTCAAGCCGATAAGGTACGTCTGACCATTGTCGTCTTAATCTACTTACACCTTCATGCGGGTGCACTTGTTTTTGCCTTTCAATTTTTTCTTTGTTACAAAACCATAATTATTGAGAAGTAAGCCCTTCACAAGGTCACACTTCACTGTACAATTTTTTAAAAAATTCCTTTTGTATTCTTAACACGTTGACTGCCACGCTAAAGTAATTTTCAGTTGCATTCAGTAGTGCTTTAATTCTTAACCAATTTTTCTAAATATTTGCACAATATCTTGTCACATTTATTTTCCGTAGATCCATGTAATTAATGCGAGAATTTGCGGTTAGGAAAGTGACTAAATTCTTAACAATATACTTGTTAAATCAATATGGATACTTAAGTGTCATCCATATAAGGGTGACGTGGCAGTCAACATCATAAGAAGATCCCTCATCTGAGGAAGGCCTGAACGTAGAGTCTGTAAGGACCTATACAGAAATCGTACAGAACAGTAATCTTGAAATTGTACCTCCACATGAAGTATAAAAGTATAAATAAATTAGTCAAGCATAGATTAGGTGTTTTTGAGAGAGGTGCCTAAGAAGGTCCCTCACCTGAGGAAGGCCTGAACGTAGAGTCTGTAGGGACCTATACAGAAATCGTACAGAACAGTAATCTTGAAATTGCACCTCCACATGAAGTATAAAAGTATAAATAAATTAGTCAAGCATAGATTAGGTGTTTTTGAGAGAGGTGCCTAAGAAGGTCCCTCACCTGAGGAAGGCCTGAACGTAGAGTCTGTAAGGACCTATACAGAAATCGTACAGAACAGTAATCTTGAAATTGTACCTCCACATGAAGCATAAAAGTATACATAAATTAGTCAAGCATAGATTAGGTATTTTTGAGAAGGGTGTCTAAGAAGGTGAAGTCCCTCACCTGAGAAAGGTGTCTAAGAAGGTAAGGTGCCTCACCCGAGAAAGGCCTAAACGTAGCGTGTCTATAAAAGCCTATACAGAAATCGTACAAAACAGTAATCTTGAAATTGTACCTCCACGAACATAAAAGTATACACAGATTAGTCAAGTATAAATTGGAAGCGTTAGCCAGCAATATATCAGGTGTTCGACACCAATAGGAATAGTCGGATCGTTATGTCACAGGTATGGAGGTTGGACCTGGTAATGGTGATCCTCTTCAAGGCAATTCCGTTGGAGTCAACGGACGGGGAACGGCTGGAGAAGACTGCGGAATGTGCTCAGCCGGGTCTCTGCGTCAACCCCTATCACATCAATGTCTCCGTCCGGGAACTCGATCTCTACCTCGCCAATTTTATCACCAGCCATGGTAAGTGATAATGCCGTTATCCTTCGATTAACCTTTCAAGGTTTGAACTTATACTTCAAACTTTGGTTTACTCGTTTACCTTTTTAACCGTCGCACACCTCATTTTACTTACTGGGGTAAGTTAGGACTACTCTATGTGGGCTGGTTGGGTTATGCAGCAAGATTAAGTTAGGTTATAGTTAGGTTAGATTAATTAAGTCAGGTTAACCGTCGCATACTTCATTTTACTTACTGGGGTAAGTTAGGACTAGTCCATGTGGGCTGGTTGGGTTATGTAGCAAGATTAAGTTAGGTTATAGTTAGGTTAGATTAATTAAGTCAGGTTAACCGTCGCATACTTCATTTTACTTACTGGGGTAAGTTAGGACTAGTCCATGTAGGCAGGTTGGGGTATGTAGCAAGATTAAGTTAGGTTATAGTTAGGTTAGATTAATTAAGTCAGGTTAACCGTCGCATACTTCATTTTACTTACTGGGGTAAGTTAGGACTAGTCCATGTGGGCTGGTTGGGTTATGTAGCAAGATTAAGTTAGGTTATAGTTAGGTTAGATTAATTAAGTCAGGTTAACCGTCGCATACTTCATTTTACTTACTGGGGTAAGTTAGGACTACTCTATGTGGGCTGGTTGGGTTATGCAGCAAGATTAAGTTAGGTTATAGTTAGGTTAGATTAATTAAGTCAGGTTAACCGTCGCATACTTCATTTTACTTACTGGGGTAAGTTAGGACTAGTCCATGTAGGCAGGTTGGGTTATGTAGCAAGATTAAGTTAGGTTAAGTTACTCCCAGTGGTTAAAACACCTTTGTAATTCATAACGAGGTATACTACATACTTTTCTTTATGATAGTCATTATTTTGTATGCGATTGTGTGGTACGGGTGTGAGGTGCGTCACGGAGGAGGGTATGTGCGTCACGAGTCTGACTCAACTATGAGTTGTAGCATTTTAATATTTTAACTGTAGAGTGACATTGATCATTGCAGTCAGAATTGAATATTAAGATAGCAACCCCTCGAGTCAGACTCATGACGCACATACACCTCCACTGTGACGCACCATGCACTCCCAATATTTGTACACGAATTTTGAGTTGAGCATGATCAATATATTATTTAACAGTCCATAACCATCAAGTTACAGAGCTAGATCTAACCATTGAGTTACAGAGTTAGACCTAACCTTTGAGTTACAGAGCTAAGACATCAAAGTACCTAGCCTATCACCTAACCTTGAAGTATCGATTCGAGTAGAAACTAAATAGATATCTAACTGAATCTTGATAACACGAAACGTGAAAATCCTTGTGACTGCAATGATCAACACGTTAATTCACCAGTCCATAACCTAATCAAAAACCCCGACCTAACCATCAAACTAGTCATACCCTAACATCTCAAGGTACCTATCACTACCAAGTAGCCTAACCTTGAGATATCGATTCGAGTAGAAAATAAATAGATATCTAATTAAATCTTGATGACACAAAACGTGAAAATCCTTCTGACTGCAATGATCAACATGTTAATTCAACAGTCCTAATCGAGAACCCCGACCTAACCATGAAACTAGTCATACCCTAACACCTCAAGGTACCTATCACTACCAAGTAGCCTAACCTTGAGATATCGATTCGAGTAGAAAATAAATAGATATCTAACTGAATCTTGATAACACGAAACGTGAAAATCCTTGTGACTGCAATGATCAACACGTTAATTCACCAGTCCATAACCTAATCAAAAACCCCGACCTAACCATCAAACTAGTCATAGCCTAACACCTCAAGGTACCTATCACTCCCAAGTAACCTAACCTTGAAGTATCGATTCGAGAAAATAAATAGATACCTAAATCTCGATAAGATGAAAATCTCGATAAAGTATCTCCCGAAGAAAGAAGACTATCGATTAATGAGAGTCTCCCATTCAGTATTTGGCTCCTCGTAGATTGATCGAGTAGATCCAAGCCGAGTGGATCGTACGAATCTCGTCGCGTTCATTCATTCGCGTATCCGTCCATTCAAAGTGTCCACTACGACTCGGCTTCGATTCAAAGTTTCTTGGAACGCTCTGCCAATTTCAACCGGCCCCCATACAACGGGGCATTTCATGGCGCGAGTCTGCTACGCTCGTCCCATTCTACTTTGCTGGCGAGCTCCTCGACGAAGGACGCATTGCCACGAGATTTACACAGGTGGCCATTCCACGTATAAAAATATCCGACTTCGACGAGGTTCTGACAAACTTTTCGATTACTTCATGGCTTTTGAATATGACTTTGTTTTACAGGGTGGTTTAAAGGTAAAGTCAGGGTTTTATTTTGGGGGCAAAATTGAACTTTTGTTAGTAAGTTTGATTTTTTATTTTAATTGTTTCTTGTGAAATGGAAGATTATTAGCAAAATTTCACCCCTTTGTAAAAAGACAGGACAGAGTAAAGGATAGGTCAAATAGGGGTGAAAAGTGCAGACATCATAACTGACTATAGTTTGACACTCTAGTTTAATTTTTTACTTTAATTGTTTCTTGTGAAATGGAAGATTATTAGCAAAATTTCACCCCTTTGTAAAAAGACAGGACAGAGTAAAGGATAGGTCAAATAGGGGTGAAAAGTGCAGACATCATAACTGACTATAGTTTGACACTCTAGTTTAATTTTTTACTTTAATTGTTTCTTGTGAAATGGAAGATTATTAGCAAAATTTCACCCCTTTGTAAAAAGACAGGACAGAGTAAAGGATAGGTCAAATAGGGGTGAAAAGTGCAGACATCATAACTGACTATAGTTTGACACTCTAGTTTAATTTTTTACTTTAATTGTTTCTTGTGAAATGGAAGATTATTAGCAAAATTTCACCCCTTTGTAAAAAGACAGGACAGAGTAAAGGATAGGTCAAATAGGGGTGAAAAGTGCAGACATCATAACTGACTATAGTTTGACACTCTAGTTTAATTTTTTACTTTAATTGTTTCTTGTGAAATGGAAGATTATTAGCAAAATTTCACCCCTTTGTAAAAAGACAGGACAGAGTAAAGGATAGGTCAAATAGGGGTGAAAAGTGCAGACATCATAACTGACTATAGTTTGACACTCTAGTTTAATTTTTTACTTTAATTGTTTCTTGTGAAATGGAAGATTATTAGCAAAATTTCACCCCTTTGTAAAAAGACAGGACAGAGTAAAGGATAGGTCAAATAGGGGTGAAAAGTGCAGACATCATAACTGACTATAGTTTGACACTCTAGTTTAATTTTTTACTTTAATTGTTTCTTGTGAAATGGAAGATTATTAGCAAAATTTCACCCCTTTGTAAAAAGACAGGACAGAGTAAAGGATAGGTCAAATAGGGGTGAAAAGTGCAGACATCATAACTGACTATAGTTTGACACTCTAGTTTAATTTTTTACTTTAATTGTTTCTTGTGAAATGGAAGATTATTAGCAAAATTTCACCCCTTTGTAAAAAGACAGGACAGAGTAAAGGATAGGTCAAATAGGGGTGAAAAGTGCAGACATCATAACTGACTATAGTTTGACACTCTAGTTTAATTTTTTACTTTAATTGTTTCTTGTGAAATGGAAGATTATTAGCAAAATTTCACCCCTTTGTAAAAAGACAGGACAGAGTAAAGGATAGGTCAAATAGGGGTGAAAAGTGCAGACATCATAACTGACTATAGTTTGACACTCTAGTTTAATTTCTTACTGTAATTTCTTCTCGTAAAATGGAAGAATATTTTCAAAATTTCACCCCTTTGAAAAGACAGGATGAAACGATAGAGTAAAGGTGATAGGTCAAACAAGGGTGAAAAGTGCAAACATCATAACTGACTATAGTTTGACACTCTAGTTTAATTTCTTACTGTAATTTCTTCTCGTAAAATGGAAGAATATTTTCAAAATTTCACCCCTTTGAAAAGACAGGATGAAACGATAGAGTAAAGGTGATAGGTCAAACAAGGGTGAAAAGTGCAGACATCGTAACTGACTATAGTTTGACACTCTAGTTTAATTTTTTACTGTAATTTCTTCTCTGTGAAATGGAAGAATATTTTCAAAATTTCACCCCTTTGAAAAGACAGGATGAAACGATAGAGTAAAGGTGATAGGTCAAACAAGGGTGAAAAGTGCAAACATCATAACTGACTATAGTTTGACACTCTAGTTTAATTTCTTACTGTAATTTCTTCTCGTAAAATGGAAGAATATTTTCAAAATTTCACCCCTTTGAAAAGACAGGATGAAACTAAAAAGCAAAAGTAAAGACACAAGGGTGAAGATAGAAATAATGATGAAAAGTACAAACATAACTAAATATATTTTAACACTCTAATTTCTTCTCATGACATGTTAGATTATTTCACCCCTTCGAAAAGGGTGAAACAACAAAATAAAACTATAGAATAAAAGATGAAGATAGAAATAACAAAGAGTACAAAGATCATAATCTTGCAAATTATAAAATTCCCTGAAGAGAAAAGTGAACGTCGTCCGCTAATTTACGAAAGCGGAAGACAGATCGACGTTTCGATCGATCTGCCAAGGAAAGCCACGTGCGCGGCTTCTTTCATTCGGATTCATCGAACTCACTGACTCAGTTGGGAAACACGTAATTTCCGTACACGCGCCTCCTGGCAGCCCGATAGCCCCGTGTTACACCGTGTGCTGGCTCCTCTTCTCTTCTCTTTCTTTCTCGTGCATGCTACGAACCCGGTTGGCAGCCGGCTTTCTAATGTTTACCAGCCGGTTGACGCAAAAATTGGCGAGGCCTACCGCACCACCTACGAGAACCAGAAGAAAAAAAACGCGTGGCTGCCAAGACATGGGGTAGGTTAGGTCTCCAGACCGTACGTCGCCTTTCTCCCTCTTCTTTTGTGCGTTCATGTTGATATTGCTTATTTTTCTTCGACTTATTAATCTACTCTGCTGTGTCATTTGTTTATCTGACTCTAAGATAAATTGATAGTTGTACAGAATTAATATTTAATAGAAAGGGACTGTT